TGACCTTGCGCTTGCCAGGCAGGCGCTTTTACCGCTGAGCTAAATCCCCAGCCCCTTACATTTAGTTTTAATGCATCTTGAGACATTTTATGTATGGTGTGAGGTAGGGGTCCCACTCATTCAATTTTTAGGTCGCTGATTCCTAGTGTATAGAACTGTGATTGATATTTGTACATTTATCCTGTAACTTGCAACCTTGGTGAACTCATTTATTAGTTCTAATAGCATGTGTGTGTGTGTGTGTGTGTGTGTGTGTGTGTGTGCGGTCGTTAGGATTTTCTGAATATAACATCATGCCATTTGTGAATAGAGATAGTTTATGTCTTCCTTTCCACCTTGGATATTTTTTTTTCATGCCTAATTGCCCCAGCTAGAACATACAATACAATGTTGCCTAGAAATGGCAAGAATCCCTGGTATTATTCCCATATTAGGGTAAAAACAGTCTGTCTTTCACCCTTGAGTGTGTTGTTATCTGCGAGTCTATCATAGGTGCTCATGTTTATGTTCGCTTCTATTCTTAGCTTGTTGGATTTGGTCAAATGCTCATTCTGTGTCCTTGAGACAGTTTTTCTTCTTTCTCTCTCTTCCTTCCTTCCTTCCTTCCTTCCTTGCTTCCTTCCTTCCTTCCTTCTTCCCTCCCTCCCCCTTCCTCTCTTTCTTCTTCCTTCCTTCTTTCCTTCTTCTCTCTCTCTTTCTTTTTTTGAGACAGCATCTCACTGTGTAGTTTAAACTGGCCTTGAACTTACTATGTAACCCAGGCTGGCCTTGAACTCACAGAAATCCTCCTGCCTCAGCCTCCTGAGTACTGGAATTACAGCCATATGCCACTGTGCCCCGTGAGGCACTTTTTCACCTTTATTATATTAACTATGTTGTATCACATGAATTGTATATTTATATCTTGAACCAGTCTTGAATTCCTGGGATAAATTTCTTGGTTGTAGTATATAATATTTTAAAATATGTTTCTGGATTTGGTTGTTAATATTTTGTGGTGAATTATGTACATATATTTATAAGGATTATTGATCTTGTCAATTTTTGTTTTTCTTGTAATATCTTTGTGTGGCTTTGGTAGCAAGGCAAAACTGGTTAGATGTCAATTTTATTAGACTTACTGAAATATGAACTTTTGGCTTTCTTAATTTTCTCTAGTTTGAAATTCTATATTGTTAAATTTCCATTTAGTCATCACTTTTCTTCTTTCTGTGTGATTTGGGTGAAGTTCACTTTTTTCTTAAAATTGATGTGTTTCTTTTCACAAGTGTGGCATTTATGGCTGGCAGTTTCTCTTTTTTTGTTGTTGTTGTTTTTTCCGGTACCGGGAACCAAACTCACGACCTTGCACTTGCCAGGCAGGCGCTGTGCCACTGAGCTAAATCCCCAGTCCCTATGGCTGGCAGTTTCTCTACCAGCACTGTTCTAGCTGCATCCCATAAGTACTGGTATGTTGTGCTGGCATTTTCAGTCATCTCAATGTCTTTTGTAATTTCACCTCTGAGTTCTTTTTTGAGCTGTTAATTACTTAGGAGTGTTTATTTAATCTCCACATATTTGCAAATTCCTTACATTTTCCTCTGTCCCTGCTTGTGATCAGAGAATATATTGTCATTTCCATTCTTTTAAATTTATTGAGATATGTTCTGTCTTAAAATACGGCCTATTCTGGAGACTATCCTCTGCGCACCTGAAAAGAATGTATATTCTGTGTCATAAGGGAAGTGTTCTATAGATATGTTAGGTCTAGCTGATTCATAGTGCTGTTAAAATCTTCTGTTTCCTTGTTGACCTACTGCTTAGTAGTTGTATCTGCTATTAGAAGCCAGGCATTGAAGTCTCCGACTATTATTGTTGAGCTGTGTGTTTCTCCCTACAATTCTTTGTGTATTGGCGGGGGAGCTCCGCAGTTCAGGTGCGCACATATTTGTGTTGCTATGTCTTCCTGGTGGATCGACGCTCTTATCATTATAAATGTCCTTCTTTGTCTCCACAGGCGATTTTGGCCTAACAGCCTATGTTGTTTCACAGGAGAGCTATGCCAGCTCTGCCTTTTTGATGCTAGATTTTTTTTTCCCATCACGAGCATGTTTCTTCCACCCACCGAACGGTGGCATCCGTTCCTGCAGGGGCACACACTTGGGTCCACCAGCCTGCCCTCCTCTATGCCCTGATATCTGTAGGTCACTTCCCCATCGTGACCTCAGCTCCTGCTCCAGTGTTGGGGCTGTGGTGCCATTACCTCTCCCTGCGTCCCTCCAGCTTTAAGGATGGTGGCAACTTCCTGCCATCCTCCACTTTTGATGGCCTTGCCCTCTTTTGCTTGACCTCAGATTTTTTAACCATTGCTACAGTGGTTCCTTCTATTAAATTCCTTCTGAGTTTAGAATATGTAGAGCAGAGATGGTTCGCACTGACCCTAACTGATGCAAGGCGATTCCTCTTCCAAGGGGTTTGAGTTCTAGAAGTTAAGGTTAGATTACACCACCGCTGTCTACAGTTGTGAGCAAGGGGCCGACACGAGGCCGCTTCTCTAACAAAGGAAGGGAATACAAGGTGGTGCAGAAGGGAGGCAAACAAGCAGGTGGAACAGCTTTTCCCCTCCCTAAACTCACAGAGCATTCAGGTGGGTGGATGCAGCGTGCCGAGCTCCTCACCAGCTCCCTGTGTGATCGTGGGTGAGTGGAGAAGTGTTCTCATGGGTAGAGGCCCCCAACTATGGGCTCCCCAAGACTCTGAAGCCCAGGGCCTTTCCCTGGCACTCTGCCCATTGCTTAGCCATTCTTTGCTGGTCTCGGTTCCCCACAGGGAGACATCAGAGCCCTCACCAAACTTTCCACCCAGCCCGAAAGGGAGCCCGTTCACTGCGCGGACACCAGCAGTCCCTCGAGCTAGGGGGAAGGGACGCGAAGAGCTTACGCACCGGGGAGTGTGTTAGTAAGAAAGGTCAGGGCCACAGCTTGGAACGGTTCCAGGAGCTCCTTCCAGATGCTTCTAAAAAAAGTGAGCTTAAAGCCACAAGACCTGCTTTCCAGCCCCCAGCCCCCTTCCTGACTCGAGGGGTGAGCATGGCAAGCTGCTTCCTGTGTTTTGGCCCCGGCCATCGGAAAAGCAAAGGGATGGGACCACGTTCACGTGGGGCTGCTCTCTCAGGAAAACCTTCCTGGACCCCTCTTAGGCGGCCCCAGATCAGGACAGCCTGCAGACAGCCCGGGGCGAGAGTTGTGTGCAGCTGCACCCCAGTGCCCCGGACGAGGCCCAAGCCAGACCCAGGACTCCCGGGTGCTTCCTGCCCACTCCAGGGTCGCTGCACGGACCTTGTGCCCCAGGCTCGGAGGCCTCACTTTCAGTTTCTTAGCTGAGCTCTGAGAAAGGCCTCGGGAGTTCCCGAGTGTTTCTCAGCACTGACTGTGAGCTCCCCCTCTGCGTGCAAGGTTGGCTGTGTCAGTCGCCGCAATCCGCTGTCCGTGAGAGGCCCAGGCCCGTGCTACCTGAGCTGACCTCTGTCCTCGGAGCACTCACGGCCCCTCAGGGCCCCAAGGTGGGGTACACAGCAGCGACAGGGCAGCTGTTTCCTCTCTGAGACTATACTTCTTGCTTCTGGAGGACAAGATTGATTTGACAGTCTTTGCACTGCCTGGAGAAATGCCGACTTTATAAACAGGTTCTTACTGGGCATGGCAGTGCACGCCTGTAATCCTAGCTACTCAGGAGGCTGAAGCAGGAAAATCGCCAAGTTCAAGGCCAGCCTAGGCAGTTTAGAGACCCTGTCTCAAATTAAAAAAAAAAAGGACTCAGGTAGCTCCGTGGTTACGAACTCGCCTGCCATGTGTGCGGTGCTGGGTTCAGTGACCCAGCTCCAAAAGCAAAACCCAGCGCTTCTTTGATGTGATCGCGTATAACCCAGTGCTTTGCTCGAGTCTCACCAGCTGCCTGTGCCTGGAAGGCCTTTGCTCCTCCGCCCGATGGCAGCAGGTGCCGCACGCCTGCCAGAGATCCGAGGGCAGCTCCTTCTCACCCAGGCCCGGGGTGTCTCCCGCCCCATCGTGTCCACGCGGTCGTGTCCACACGGTGACGAGGCCGGGGCTTGTTCCGAAGTGAGGGCCCCTTCTTGGGAAGGCCTCTTCTTCCTTTCGCATTCCCTTTGCTGATACTGACTGTAGGTCCTCGGCTCGCCTGCTCGAGCGGGACTCATACTGTGACACTCCCAGCTTCTAGGCAGCGGGCGCCATGACGACTGCTTGGCTTCTGCAGGAACTTCGTGCCTTCACTCATTCATGGTGCCGGACTCCACGGACTCGGAGACAAACGCACGCAGTCCTTGGCGTTGCCGGAGTTACAGGGGCCTCATGGGGACATCAGGCTCCTTGGGCTGCAGTGACCAAATACTGAGGCAGAGCCTGTGTCCTCCCATGTCCCAGATCAAGGCCTGACTGTGTCACTCTCTGAGGGCTGTCATCCTGGCCTGTGGTGACTATTGGCTGTGCCTCACGGCCTTCCTCGGTGGGCATAGCGGTGAGAGCGGAAGCAGACATTCTGCTGTCCCTTCTCAGGAGAACGCCAATCCTGTGAAACCCACATGCGCTCTCTTTTTGGGAGGTGCTGGCGGTGGAACCCAGAGCTAGGCAAGTGCCATACCGCTGAGGACATCCCCAGCACCCTGCTCCCCACCTCCCTTTGGCACTGGGGGTTTTCATACTGAGCTGCAACCCAGCCCTCCTTTTAAAGACATTTTTTAACTCTGAGACTTGCAATCCTCCTGCCTCAGCCTCCAGAGCAGCTGGGAGTCCAGGCATGTACCACCACATCCAGCCAGGATCTGGCTTCATGGAACCTTAATTACTTCCTTAAATACCTCATTTGTAAGCCATGTTTGGAGCTTGAGGCTTCAATATGTGATTTTTGGTTTGGTAGTCGGGGGAAAAGTATTCAGTCCATAATAGTGGAGGTCATAGGCAAAGAGAGATGTAATTACCCTACGCAGTACGGGTAAAAGTGTAACATCAAGCTGGGGGAGGAAGCGTATTCTAACTTGGGGGCGGGGTGGGGGCGTGTGACAGAGGAGAGTGCCAGGGCACTGAAACCGTACTTTTTGGTAACACTTTGTGATGGATGTGGATCTCCCGTGTTTTTCTTTACAGCTTTATGTATTGAGCATTTCATGCTGTTTAAAACTGCAGAAGACAGCTGGGGATTTAGCTCAGCGGCACAGCGCCTGCTTGGCAAGTGCGAGGTTGTGAGTTCGATTCCCGGTACTGGAAAAAAACCAAACCAAAACAAAACCAAAACCCCCAACTAAAACTACGGAAGACAATGTGTGACACAGTGCAGTGAGAGCTAACAGGGGACAAGTCCAAGATGTCACAGCGCGCACAGGAGGATCCCTGGGAACGGTCAGCCAAGGGGGGCGGAAGTGACCCAGGCGCAGGGTGGAGGACAGCGGCCAGTGGTCAGAAGTGTCAAGGCCGGGGAAGTTGTGCATGGTTGGCTCAGTCTCTGTCTCGCCCAGTTTGGGAGTTCAGGGGCAGGCGAGCCATGCTTTCAGGGGTGATGGGGCCTCAGGGCCCCTCTCTGGCCTTTGTTACCTGCTCAGTGGGCAGGTAGGATATCCTGAGATAGCTTTGATTTTTGCCACATCTTTGAAATGAAGTTCTCTCTGCTGCTGTGGCATGGGAAAGAAAGAGGATACAAGGCGTTTCTCAGGGCTGCCTTTCTTTAATACCTGGTCATCTGTCTATCCATCATCCACCCATCCACCTATCCACCTATCCATCCATCATCCACGCATCCACCCATCCATCCATCCATCACCCACCTGTCATCCATCCATCCATCTATCCATCCATCCATCCACCCATCCACCCATCCACCCATCCATCCATCCATCCATCCATCCATCCATCCATCCATCCATCCACCCATCCACCCATCCATGTATCCACCTATCCATCCATCATCCACCCATCCACCCATCCATCCATCCATCACCCACCCGTCATCCATCCATCCACCTATCCATCTGTCCATCTATCATCCATCCATCCATCATCCACCCATCCACCCATCCACCCATCCATCCATCCATGTATCATCCACCCATCCACCTATCCATCCATCTATCATCCATCCATCCATCCATCCATGTATCATCCACCCATTCATCCATCCATCCATCCATGTATCATCCACCCATCCACCTATCCATCCACCTATCATCCATCCATCCACCCAGCATCCACCCATCCACCTATCCACCCATCCATCCATTTATCATCCACCAGTCATCCATCCATCCAGCATCCATTTACCTACTCTGTGAGCTTTCCAGCTAGTGGAAAACAACATCTCCACATTCCTAAGGTGCTTCTGTGTGTTCAAGCACGTTCTTGTGTCTGAGCTCACGCAGGGCCACCCTGTTTAAAGGCTCCATTCTGTGACCGAAGAAACCGACTTGAAAGAGAAGTGATGTGACCTTTGATTCCAAGCCAAGGGACTTTTCCTACAATGTCAAGGGCATGGTGCAAAGGGCTCAGGGCTGCTGCCCCTCCCTGCCTGGGAAAGGTGCCCTCAGACGTGGTTCTCGGCACTGTGCCCTGTCCTCTGAGACTACGCACGCTGCTGTCCTTTGGGGAAGTCCTGTCCATGCGCAGAGATTTCTGAGAACAAGCAGGGAGCAGGGCCTGGAAGTCACCTTCACAGTCATGCAGTCCGACTGGTGACTCGGCTGCTTGCGGGATAGAGGGAACTTAGCCTACTGTAAACTCAGCCTCCTGCTACCATAAGAATCCTAGCACCTGGAAGGCTGAGGCAGGAGGCTCACAAGTTCAAGCCCAGCCCGGGCAACTTAGTGACTTAGTGAGACCCTGTCTCAAAAGAAAAAAGAAAAAAGGGCTGGGGATATAGCTCAGTGTAAAATCTGGGCTCAAGGACGGAAGGAAGGAAGGAGGGAGGGAGGGAAAGGGATGAGTCTTGAGGCCCCTGGGGAAGGTCCCTGACCTGAAGATACAGTCAAGGGGCCACACCAGAGTCCTCAAGCCTGCGGACGCTTAGCCCTGTCTCTCTTGCCCGGCGGGCCCCCGATCCAAGCATCCTTTTCTTTGCCGCTCTTCCAGCGGCTTCTAGTCCCGCTCTCCACCCTGGCCTCCAGCCACTGTTTTCTTCCACTTGGGAACCATGCGTCCCCGTGGGGCAGCTCGGCCCGTGCGGGGCACCCAGCAGGCAGAGTGGGCATGGATTTTGGGACACCTCAAACTGGAGAAAGGTTGAGCTTTGCGCCTGCCTAGCATTTCTCACCCAGAGACCTAAGAAGCGGCTCTTTGCCTGGTAGCGGCTGGGTGCATTTTGTGGCGCTGTTAGGAGTTACACAGGGAGGGAGACCGCGGTCTTCTGAGGCCCGGAGCCCTTCGGGGCTTAATCAGACCGCGGGAAGGAGGTGGTGCGGGTGAGGGCCTGCCAGGCTGCGGGAGGAAGAACAGCAGGGGGCCTGGGCGCAGCCCCCGGAGGCCGCGGGTCACCCCGGCACCTGTGCCACGGCCGCGCGGCGGTTTCCTGCCCTGGCCAGGACACGTGAGGGGCGAGAACACAATGGCTTTGCCTTGGCAGGAAGGCGCTTCCTGTTTTGCCGCTGCGGGGCCGCGCTGGGCCCAGCCAGGGCGAGGCTCGCGTGTCTGTGTTTTGAGTTGCCAGGATCCGCATGAGGAGGCTGGGGCAGGTGAAAGGAGTTTTTGTTTTTTGTTTCCCAAACTGCTCGGCAACGCTTCCTGCTACTCTATTTTGGGCACCCAGAGAGGATTCCTCCGGTACCCAGCAGCTCCGCGCCGGAGCTGTGTGCGCGGCTGAAGGCTGTCCCAGATCTCTCCGGGGGGTTCCCTCCCGGGGAGAACCTTCTGCAGCCACCTCATCGCAGCAAGGTGGAAGGGCAACCGGAAGTCTGGGTCTGCTGACCAGAGGTGGATTAGAACCCCGGCTGCCTGCTCCCCACCCCAGCTGCCCTCTGCCGGGCCGGGCTGCACATCACACAGCTGGCGCCGCATGTTTTGGGTCTTAGAAAGCCCAGGTGTTCGTGCTGAGCCTGCGACAGCTCTGCAGGTGACCAGCGTCAAGGAGCTTCCAGAAGGGGAAGGATGGGAGCCGGCGCTTCCTCGAGGAATCTAACAGCATCGTGGCGCCCGCCCCAGGGAGGAGGAGAACCGGAGCGGAGAAGCCCAGGACTTTCCCAGAGGAGGAGAAGTCCCCTCCCCTGTGCCCTGCACCGCACTGGTTGAACCGGGAGCTCAGTCACGCAGCCGCTGGAAGCCCCGGGTCGGACGCTCTGTTGTCCCCAGGATGGCGGCTCTGGTGGCCCCAGTGTCCAGGTAGCGCCTCTTCCCGGCACTCTACACCTGCCCTGCGGTAGGGAGGAGGGCCCAGGCGAGAGTCCTGGCCTCCAGCAGACTGGGAGTCTAAGATCTTGACTTCTCCTGGGATGATAGGGCATTGACAAGGGAATTTCCTCCAGAAAGGATGACTATTTGTTTTTTTTTTTTTTTTGAGACAGAGTCTCACTATGCATTTCAGGCTGGCCTCAAATTCACAGCAATCCTCCTGCCTCAGCCTCCCGAGTGGTGGGATGATAGGTGTGTGCCACTCTTAAAGTGACAACCATAAACATGACACATGTCCACCACAGTACTCACCCTAAATGTCACCTCAAGACAAGTTCATTTATATGCTTGAATACTTTCCCCTTTTAAAATCCTACTCCTTTCTTAACATGTGGCATTGAGCAAAAAGTTTTCATTACATAATTTATGGGAGGCATCATTTACATATAGTAAAATCCACCCACTCGAGCGTACAGTTCCAGGTTTTCTTTTAAAACCAACTTGCGCAGTTGTCTAACCACAACCTCCAGCACGGGCTCATCCTCCTCCCTTTTGGATTCCCTGCTCCGCCTCTAACCCTACCCTCAGCCCCTGGCGCCACTTGTTCTTCTATCTTCTTTCGTCTTTTTGAGACAGGGTTTCACTATGCAGTTCAGGCTGGCCTGGAACTCACTGTGTGGTTCAGGTGGGGCTCAAACTCATGGCAATCCTCCTGCCTCAGCCTCCCAAGCGCTGGGATGACAGGCGCGCGCCACCATGCCCGGCTTCACTTGCTTCGCTCTGGAGGAAGGCTGAGGTTCCTGCTGTGGCTTAGCTCACACAGCACAGGCCCACGGCAGGTCTGTGGCCCCCTGTGTCCCTCCCGGCTCAGTCACTTTCAGGCCTGTGCAGGTTCCTTTCTCGGTGTGACCACCGAAGGAAATCAGCACAGTGGAGTTTGAACCCCTCAACTCGAGCAGCGGCCCCGGGCTGCTGTTTGTGGGGTGTACACAAAGCTGAGGTGCGCAGGGTGCACAGGAGGAGATGGGGTACCGGCTGGGAAGGAGGACTCCAAGGCGTCTCATGATTCTACATTTGAACACGACTCTTTAGATTATTATGAAAAAGTGCTTTTTGCTCTTTTGACATTTTGCAGATATTTTCGACGTGGACTAGACCCCAGGGCCTTCACACTGAGCTACATCCCCAATCCTGTTTTTATTTTCTTATTTTGAGACAGGGTCTCATGAAGTTGCTGAGTTGCCCATGCTGGGCTTGAACTTGCCATCCTCCTGCCTCAGCCTCCCGGACTGCTGGGATGACAGGCATGCCCCACCACACCTGGCTAGAGGCCCTTTGATGTAACAATCTATTAGCTTGATATTGATTGTGGTGGGGAACCTATGGCACGTGTGCCGCAGCAGCTGTTTGTTATTGTCGAAAGCTCTAAGTTTTGCCATCACTGTAGACTCTCAGAGCATGTGTAGATCTTTGTGCTCCTTCCTGAGCCCTGCAGACGTCCGAGGCAGGCTCTCAGTGGGCCTCCCCAGAGCGGGTAGGGCAGGACACGGAGGCTTCGCGACGTTAACTGTCTTAGGTGTTGCAGCAGGGATCCAACCTGAGTCTGACACCGTTCTGAGAGAGTCCTGCCTCAGCCTCACCCTCACCCTCAGCCTCAGGACCCCTGTGGTCACTGAATTCTGCCATTGCTCTGGGGAGAAAGTAAGCCAAACCAAAGCAAACTGTGAATTTCCAGAACCTTCTCTGATTGGCCCCGTTGTTCCAAAGCAGAAAGGGGCAGAGGACAAGGGGACTGGGAGCACAGGCCAGAAGGGATGAGGGTATCGGTGGATTCGTTTGAGGGTGGGAGGAGGGGAGCTGTCTGAGTCAGTCCTAGTTTCAAACCCAAGTCCTGATACTTATGATCTGACCAAGTCACTTAACCTCAGTTTCGCTGTCTGTAATAATATAACCCATAATAGTTCTCATCTAAGGGAGGCCGCCAGTGTGAGGCGAAATCACGTCAGCCCGGCACCTGGCCCGGGAAGCTTCTCGACAACATTTGTTCCCTTCCCTCCTTTGTTCTCTTGCTGATTGACTCAGCCAGGCCCGTTTTGGGTTTTGGCATTCGGTAGATTTCTACAGCTGAGAAATCCAAAAATAACCTTGAATTATGATGGGTTTGGTGCTGAGGCTCGCTGGCAGGCACTTTTGTATAAATAGCAGAAGTGAAAAGGAAGAAAAAAAAGCAATTTCATTTCTAGTGTTTGAGACAAAGAGCCCCCCCTGCCCCCCAGCGCTGAGGGGGCGGAGATGGAAAGGAGGGAAGGTTGGGTAGTTTTTCTTTGTTGTTTTTGTTTTTGTTCTGTGATGATGTGGGGGGACTCTCCAGGGATATCATGTGGCAGAGAGCAGGGCAGAAGCGGGTGACGAAGGCAGGGCCCCGAGGGAAATTTCACCCTGGCTCTGACGTGATAGGGCAGAAGCAGGGGACAGAGAGAGGGCTGACGGGGAAGAGGTCCGGCGCCGTCACACCTTCCTTACTTCACGCTCTCAAGCGCAGCGGGCCAGGTTCCTCAATTCAGCTTTCAATGAGTTTCTGAAGAAAGGCCATTTCTGTGGCCTGCGTGATTCCTGAAGTGCCGGCGCTGTGGAGGCGGGGTTGCGAGGGGGTGTGTGTGTGTAGGTCCTGGAGACTCTTGAAAAGAGAAGCGGCCACTCTGGCCCACACAAGCATCACGGGTTGTTATTATTTTTAACAGGCTGCCTCCCCCACATCTCAGCCTATTTTCACTGGTCCTCCTATCTAGGTGTCTTTTCTCTGTCACTCACGTCTTCTGGCTCACATTTTGTCCACCATCTGCTCTCGGAGGCCGGATGATATGGCAGAGGGGCTGGCGGAGGACAGCTGCTGGCCTCATGGAGGACAGGAAGCGGAGAGTCAAAGGAGATGAGCCCTTCCGGGTCCCACCACAGTGACCAGGCCCACCTCTGAAGACCGTCCGCTGGGAGCCCCATGATCCAACCTGCTGAAGGCCCCTTGGTGATGGTGGTGATTGTGTGAGGCCTCGGGGGACATCTACAGATAAACGTAACACTGTGCTTTCTTTGTAGGCTCAGCAAGATGACGTGACCTCCCCCTGGGTTCAGGACTGGAGCTGGCCTTGGCCGTCCTCATTATGGGGGGCAGGGCGGGCTCAGGACTGGAGACCTGGGGAAGCCAGGCCGGCCTGACCTTTGCCCTGTCATACCCAACTCATCAATGAATACGCAGCATGCTCCGTGTGGGCCTTGCCTAGCAGCCGCTGAAGATGACCCAAGGGGTTGCCCGTGGCCATTGTAGATACCCCGGGGGTCGGGGTAGCTGAGCTGCGATGAGAAGCTGCTGGATAGATTGAGGAGGGAAGTTTTTAAAAAAGTGGTAGCAAAAATAGGGACGACACAAATATAACTTTAGACAAATAAATGGTGTTTTCTATACATCCTAGCCTATCATATAGCATGCCATGCAGTTATGATGGATGGTAAATGAATACCCGCTCGTCAAATAATCAAGGTGACAGAAAGCTAATCACAAAATAGGAAGCGCGGTGTGATTCTGACTTTGGTGGGAAGTGAGGCTCTCCCCGTGGGAAGGTGTTTGGGAAGATGAACGCCTAAATATTTTAACCCTGTGACTTTAGGGGGAGTCTTTCTTTTATTTTTCTGGCTTTTCTTAATTTTTTACAGTGGTCATGCCTTTCATTTCGAACAGGGAAAAACACTTGTAAGCGTGTCCAGTCAATTCTCTAGGTAAAGTACTTGGGCTTTAAATCTTGAAAACTCCAGAACCCAGGTCGAAACGTAGGACGAGAATCGGAAGAGCTGTCAAAGAGCCTTCCGGTGGGGATTCTCAAACCCGGCTCACTTCAAACCACCCGTGGACCTTGCAGTCACCCGAGAGTTTGGAGAGCTCCTTCGCCCACCAAGCAGCCTCCCCCATGGCGGCACCCGAGGGTTCCAACGTGGCCCAGGCGGTGCGATCCCACAGCCGGGTTTGAGAAGCCCTGCTTCGGAGCTGAACTGTCCAACACAATAGCCACTGCCCAGCGGTGGCCACTCAACTTTCATTTAAACTAAGTACGATTATATAAAAAATTCAGCCCCATGGTTGTGCTCCCCGCTTTTTAAGCACCCAGCGGTGGCATGTCGGTAGCGGCTGCCGCGCTGGACGGAGTAGATGGAGATCCGCCAGGACGGAGGAGGCCGGCCGGGAGCTGTCCTCCTCCAGCAGGCCTGAGGCTCACAGGCGGGCAAGCCTCCCTCCTTGCCTGCTCTGGGGCGCGGGCCTGGCCAGCGCGGTGGCGATCAGTGAAACAAGTGTGTGCCTGGAAAGTTCTCTCTGCTTTCTTTGGGCTGCCCTGTCCTCCCCCTCGAGCTCGGGGGTGTTTACCTTGCACGTGTATTTTTGAAGGCTCCACAGGCCCAGGTCCTCCCTACCCGTGCAGCCCCGCCAGGCCCCGAGAGCTGTTTACGTGGGATCTGAAGCTCAGCAGACAGCAGCCTGGGCCAAGTGTTTTCCACGCTGCTGTGAAGCTGAGCGAGAGGAACAGAATAACAAAAAGCCACTTCAAAACAGCAGCCAGAAACGCCAAGCAGAGACAAGCAGAGGTTTCGGGTACACTCACGTACACGCCCCCAAAGCCCCGACGCCGGCGGGAGAACGAAAACAAGTCACGAGGGAGGCCCTCACCTGCCGCTTGTGAGATTGTCGCGGTCGCTGACTCGAGCCGGGCCTGTCCCTGCAGTTCCGAGAGGAGCTGGGAGTGCAGCTTGTGGGGGCTCAGAAACCTCACCTACCTTCTGATGACTGTGGGGTCTGGTCGGGGACAGTCCCCAGGTGCTCCCTGCCTCTGGGAAGACGACCTGTGTCCTTCTGCGGAAGGAGGGGAAGGGCCAGGCTGCGGGGGGTGGGGGGCAGTGGGCTCTCCCAGCCCAAGGACGGGTGGATTAGGGAGTAGAGTCCCACCGGGCCAGGCGCTGGTGCCTGCTGCTCCGGAAGGCGAGGCCTCCCTGATGTCATCCAAGACGTAAAGAAGGCCGCCTGTGTTCACACATCTCTGGGGCCCAAAGCCAAAGATGTAACCACGAAGAAGCCAACCCAGAACAGAAAGCCCGATGCCGCCCGTCACCCGACCCTAGGGCCTCTGTCGGGTGGTACAATACAGTGAGGAGAGCCCCGGGGAGGGGGATGGTGTCAGCCAGGTCACTTCCGCCTTGACCTGTACATCGCCACGCGGGTCAGGAATGGCTCTCAACCCCGGCTCTCAAAGTGCAGTGGTTTAAATAAAGACCATTCTAGATGTTCTGAGAAGCTGCTTGGGTGTCAGGATTTTAAAAAGCTCTTCCGAGGGGCCCCCGTGCACGGAGATTGAGAATCGCTGTCAGCCCAGTGCTTCCGGAAGGGTAAGTTTCGGATTCCCACCCGGCGGGTCTGGCGTAGGCTCTGCGATTCCAGCGGCTCGCGGGCAAGGTCCGTGGACCGCGACGTGGGTGGTTCTGCGTCTCTTCAATGTCCCCATCACTCGCACTAGTAAGACGGAAGCCAAGTTTTTGTCTGCTTTGGTTCTTGTTTGGTTCTGCCCACCGCATCTTCCCTTGTAGGTCTGATCTTTTCCTCATTTCTCTCAGGAGTTGTTTAAATCTCCTCATCGTTTCAACTCTAAGTCTAGGGGCTGGGGATTTAGCTCAGCGGCACAGCGCCTGCCTGGCAAGCGTGAGGTTGTGAGTTCGATTCCCGGTACCGGAAAAAAACCAAAAACCCAAAAACCAAAACCAATTCTGAGTCTGTCTAGGGATATGAGCCCAGCAGGGGTCTTCCTGCTTGCAAAAAGAAAGACAAAGCCAGGCTGCGTTTCGCTGAGGATGGGAGGGATCCGTGCAGCTGAAATGATCGCCAATCGAAGTTCCAGGGTTTGACAGCAGTCGTCTCATCTGCCCTCAGCATATCTCGCAGGGCTGGTGATGTCCCAGTGTACGCAGGTCTCTGTGGTTTAGCGTCAGTATCCTGCAGGGCCACAGCAGGCCCGGTGCAGTGCTGGACTTGAACAGAGGTCTTTGTGTTGACCACGAGTCCCCGAGGGCAGGGCCACACACGTGGGAGAACCAGCCAGACCTTTGGGTACCAAGTTGTTGGGGCGGGTGGGCTTTTCAGGAGACACTCGAGCAGCCTGCCCAAGCCACGCCTCCACTCACCTGCCCCCCTCCCTGACCAGAGTGGGACAGGTGGCAACAGGTCTTCCCCGGGTGAGGGCTGAATTTTGGAGCTGTACCTGCCTGTCCCTGCTATCTTGCATCCAGGACTTGCTTACTTATGTGGGGAGGGGCAGCATGGCATCTTTGTCATAAGGGTGGGCTGTGATCTATAAACTTGGGTTTAAATCCCAGCTCCAAGCTTGCTAGACCCCCTGAACCTCATTTTTCTCATCTGTAAAATGGGTCTATCAATAATCCCACCCTCAGGGGCTCTCTGTGAAGAATAAGAGGACAAGGCATGCATGCAGAGGGCGAATGCCTGCTAGCTCTTATGGTTGCTAACTGTTTTGTTCCCACTTCTCCGAGGACTACCTCACCTGTGAACCGGAGGAAATAATACATAGCCCTGGCGGGTTGTCATGACAACCAAATAAGAGAACACACGTGAAAATGCTTTGTGAACTCTAGGTTTGGGCGTAAGTGCGACAGAGATCACACCACTGGAAGGGGGAGGGGCTGTCTTGGAATAACCACACCCTCCCTCAGTGCACACCTGCGGTGCACTTACGCACATGTGCCCACACGCGTGCATGCTCACATGTACAGACACACCCATGCACACCCATGTGCACACACATACACAGAGACATGCATAGGCACACACGTGTATGAGCATATACATACATACACACGTAGTCACCACTAGCCCCAGCACCAGCACCCACATCAGGAAATCTCTGAGTGGCCTGACCCCTACTGGTGTCCTGGGGAAGTCCTCCATCCTCATTTCAGCCTCCCTGCCATCAGGGCTGACCGGTGGAGTAGAGGAAGCTGAAGGAGACATGGGCTCTAGAAACCCACAGGGAGAAGGGTGGGAGGAATGGACAGACAGAGAGACAGAGAGAGAGCACACGAGAGAGGGAGAGAGAGAGAGAGAGAGACAGGGAGGGAGCTCAAGCACACGAGAGAGGGAGAGAGAGAGACAGAGACAGAGGGAGGGAGCTCAAGCACACGAGAGACAGAGAGAGACAGAGAGAGAGAGCTCAAGCACACGAGAGAGGGAGAGAGAGAGAGAGCTGGAAGGAAGGGAAATTTGGAGTGAGGGGAGGTCCTGGGCAGGGCTGGCATGGAGCTGTCTTGAGGGACAGGTAGTGTCATAGTTTGCCCAGGCAGCCATAACGGAGTGACTTACATGTCATAAGTTTATTTCCTCCTGGTTTTGGAGGCTGAGTCCAAGCTCGCAGTGCAGGCAGCCTGGGTTACTCTGAAGACCTCTTTCCTCAGGTTGCCTGTTGAGGCGGCCTCGTGTGGTTGATGCTGTCTGGGTCCCAATCTCCTATTTTTAGGAGGACGCCAGTTATAGTGCATTTGCACCTCCCATATGACCCCGTTTTACTTTAATTACCCCTCAGAGTCCCTGTTCCCCGAAGTCTTACATTGTGAGGGTTAGGACTTCACCATAGGAATGGGAAGTTAACAGTACAGCCTGTAGCAGGTAGGAAGTCTTCACATTTATTCAGTAACAGAAATATTTAATGTGAAATGCTAAAAAGCACCAAAAATGATATAAAAACTACTTAGAGATGACCTTATTTATGCACTCTTTTCTTTCTTTTTAAAGAATATATAAACGTTCTGAGAGGCTGAGGCAGGAGGATTGCAAGTCTAAGCTCAGCCTGGGCAATTTAACAATTTAGTGAGACCCTGTCCCAAAATAAAAAAATAAAAGCAGATGGAGATGTGGCTTAGTGTGAAGACCCTGGGTCTAATTCCAAATACAGAAGAAAAGAATGTGTCTCTTAAGAATGAATTCATATTTTACAGTACCTAGAGTCCTGTAAGCTACTATTTTGACGTAACACTGTGCCATGCACTTCCCTCCTGGTCAGTAATTATTCTCCCATTGCATTGCTTGCAGCGGGCACAGAGCGGTCTGCTTTAGGGGTGTGCTGAGGGAGTGTAAACGGGACAGTGGGGCTTTGATTCACTGAGACTGAGGGGGAGGAGCAGGGAAGGATAGAATGCCGACAGCACAGTGGTTCTAGTTCGGCAAAGTAGAACCAAGAGAGAGTTCTCAGAATCAGGTGGTCACAGGCAGAAGAATGCACATTTATGGGGGCTGTGGGGAGACAGACTCTGCAGGCGAGGGTGCTGGCGCTTCTGAGAAGTCCCGAAAGGTTCCAAGAACGAGCCGTTCCATAATTCACGCTGACTCATTAGCGTCTCAGCCGAGTCCTCCCTTGCAAGTAAATTGAGTGTTTGCCTCTGCAAGGTGAGTCTGAGACTGACCGATGCTCGGTCACTCAAGAGCTGCTTGTTTACTAGTGACTTCCAGTGGGCACTTGCTCCCTGTCCCATGTCCTTTAGCACCCTTCATCCCTGCTGGGGAGAAATCCTTGGTGAACTTGGTACAGGGGGAGTAAACGTAACTCCCAACCTGCTAGATATCAGATACGCTGAGTTTGTGGTCCTCAAAATCAAAGAATGAATTCTAAGGAACAACAGAGGTTAAGAGTAGGGAAACTGAGAAGAGAGAGAGAGAGAGAGAGAGAGAGGGAGAGAGCTCCTGAGGAGGGGACCTGAAAGTGGGTTGCCAAGAAGCCCACTTCTCAAAGGAAGTTCTAATAGAGCAAAATCACGAGGTGGGTATAATGTGGGTCAGAGCTATGATCAACCAATAAGATTACAAGTACACCTGCTTCGGTAATATTGAGCCCGTGGAGAAACAGGTCAAATATGGAAAGAACAAGGACTTGTTTAGGGAGAGATGGATCCGGAGGTCCTGGTCACCCACTGGGCTAACCGTCTCCTGGGCTTTATTGGGCCAGGTGATACCCTTTCTAGGCTATTGCTTAGCCCTTGTGCGAAGCAGGTAAGAAAGAGGCAATGACTCTTGTGATTTGACAGACGAAGGCCCCGACACAGCTCAGGGCTGCAGGGCCATCAGCTGCATGTGATTTCCAAGACAACCTGTGCTCCAGGGAGAAAACCGGGCTGACATACAGGTATCTTTGGGGGATTCTTTTGAGAGGACTCGAGAACCATTTCTAAAGTCTCAGGAGTCTCACCAGGCCCTTTTGTGGAACGAATGCAAACAAGGACAGATTTATTTTAACTGAGACCAGCTGGGAACGAGATGACTACGCACGCAAGTCCCTACGTCCGCCCAGAAGAGAGAGATGTCAGTTCTGGCGAAACTTTCCAACCTAGCATTTGATCAGATCTCATTCTTTGAACTGTTTTCTTTCTTTCTGCTGTCAAGTGGCACTGCTCTCGCCCCAGCTGCAGGTCGTGATGATGAGAGGGAGGCGAGCTCATCAGCGGGCATTATAAGGAAAATAGCAGCCCTTCCGAGCTCAATTCACTGGCAGAAACAGAGGGGGCCGGAGAGGATGTGACTTACTAACTGCGCCACGCGGAGTGTGGAGTGGTTTTCGTTTGAATTCCTGGTGATTGCAGAATTGTATGGCTCTGGGTGTGCAGACGGCTATGTCAATGCCTGGTGCTGGCACGAGCCCTCAGCCCCTGCACCTCAGGGAGAGGAGGCAGGACCAGCTAATTCAGGAAGGATGCGGTTCGCTGCCAGCCTTTAACAAATCCACGTCACGAAGACCCAATTAGGATCGTTCGCTGCAGAAAAGAACTTCTCAATTTGCAACGCTTTACCACAGGGTCACTTTACACAGACAGTTTCCCCTGTGTGTTTTGCATGTTACCTATTTATCTTTTTCAAATGAATGAGCTGTCACCAAGATGATACCTGTGTACCCAGCTCTGTTGGAACCCGCACCGGCCAGGTCTCTTGCTTTTCACTAGTGACTCTTTCGTGACCTTCCCTCCAGCTTTGGTCTTCAGCGTCTGGTGACATCGTCACATGACCCAGGAAAATAGACAACGTGGCCTAGGAGCAGCACCCACGCTGTGGGACACCCTCCCCGCGGCGGGCCGGTGACACCCTCTCTAGATGCTTGTGATACAGGGTTTGCAGACTCCTTGGCGGAAGGAAACCAGCTATCCCGGGGAGCCAGGGAGCACCTGAGCAGGAAACGGTGGATAATGACACACCAGAAGCCTGGCGTTGGCCGGTGCCTAGGGCCAGGGAGGCCGGTGGGACATTCCTGCATCACCCAATTATTGAAGCTGACTCTGTTTAATTCACTTTAATTAAAACAGGAGGACCAGTTCCACCCAAAGGCAGGTGGAAGACACTGTCAGGTGACCCAGAGTGGGGTCTGAGGACCCAGGGCAAAAGTGCCACCTCTCCTAAGTGCATCGCCGATGACTGAAATGGCGCTCGTCTGCCATTCATGCCAAAGAATGCAGATTCTCTTACAAGGACCGGCATCCCTAGAGCCTCAAATTCTACAGCGGGGAGCCCTGGGGTGTCCAGATGTGGGTGGTGTGTGAGACACAAGAGTGTGCCTCAGTTTCCACCGGATGTAGCCCTGACGCTGAGGGGGTTTGAGTGTTGCTAGCTGATGTACACCCAGCATCCAGAACAGAGCCTGGAGCCCCACAGGCTCGGGAAATACTTGTGGAACCAGCGATCAGAGACACTGAAGCGCCGGGCACATGCCCTTCCTCTTCCCTCGGCTTTGTCTTGCTCTGTTGGTGCCAGCCTGGTCACCCTTGGCACCCTTGTCCAGGTGTAGACGTTTGTGATGATCATTCTCTGTAAACCTAGGGACTCTTCCCAGCGCTTGGGGACGTCCTGGGTGCTGACACAGCAGGGGCCACGCTGGGACTTCGAGTTCCCCCTGCCTGCTCCCCTCTGTCCGGCTCTCCTGGGACCTACCTGTGCCACTGCAGGGCCACCACGGCCCCACGAGGCCTGGAACCATGTCTTCAGGGGGGCAGCCCTTCCTGGGGGCCACCCACACCCCGAAGCCCGGAGGCCCCTGTCCTGCCCAGCAGCGCAGTCTGTCCTGACCCGGAGATTCTCTCTGACCTTGAGCCGTGAACTTCAAAACCCTGTTTCTCAGTGGCTGCCAGAAGACACTGTTAAAATGCAACCAGAAGAATGTTGTTCTGGTCCTTTTACACCCCAGCTGCGAATCTGCAGGATTTTCCCCTTCCCAGGGCTAAGAGAGAGAAGAGGAAGTGAAAGCAGGAGGGGAGAATTTTCTTACAGCACCTTTGGTCTTGTAGACAGCAAGCAAAAACCCCCTCGGGGTTGAAGGGCGACCCGTGTACTTTTTCCGCAGCCTGTTCCCATCCACAAGCTGCCCTGGGGCGCCCACAGCTCCCCCGCCTGAGCAGGACTTTGAGCCACCCCGGTCTCTCATCTGCACACGGGCCATCCCTGGTGCTGCAGGAGGGGCGTGGCTGGCTGTTTTGAGAGAAGGGAACTCTGTCGTCTTTCTGGGGAGATGCTGGGCTTTCTTCAGGGACCTGGGGGAGCTTATACAGGCCTTGCGCAGAGAGGTTTGGGTAGACCGGGATCCGAGCCAGTTCTCTTCTGGGTGGAGCCCTTGGGTCACAGAGGGTCTGTGTCTCCATCTGCCCGTTTTTCCCACCACGGGCTCCTCCGGATCTCCCACCCCAAAGCCTGATCCTGATGACAGTATCTGCTGCCAAGACAGGGGCGTGTTCCGGAGACCGATGGCCTGTCTGTGCCCTAACAGACCCCACTAACGATCAGTACATGCAAGGCCCGTGGGAAAGTGGAGAATACGGAAGCAGCTGGGCCGGAGGCTCCCCCGCTAAATTGCTCGCTCCTGCTGCGGACGGGCACGGCCACCGACCCACATGGGGGCCGCGTGGAGGGACGCCAGGCAGGAGGCAGTGCCAGACCGGACCAGGGAGTCCTTGGAGTTGAGTGCCGGCCCGGTGGCCAAGTTCAGAGAAGTCTCCAGCCCCTGTCCCAGCGACCCAGATAGCAATGGCTGATTGGGCAGGGCCAGGGGGCAGCGTGTCTGGATGGGCCTGGCCCCGGAGTCGGGTCACGCTCACCGAGACCTCTGAGGGGAAATAAGAATAATGGCAGGTGGGGCTTGATGAGGAAGGCCCCTCAGGGCAGCCCGCTCCTGCCCCCCAGAGCTCTGGGCTCCATCAGTGCAGGGCGCGTGGGAGCCTAGCGGTGAGCCCTGCAGGATCACGGCACACAAGCCCTCTCTCAGGCACCCCGAGGCGGGATGGCCGAGCTGTGAGCCCTCCGATGCAGGCCCTCCCATCTTTCTGGCTTTTCTCGGCCTGTGAATCTTCCCTGTTGGCCACCAGCAAGCAGTGGCTGGACACGAGGAAGAAAGTTCCATGGGCCCCGGATGGTGGCCTCTGTCTGCACTTCTTTGCCAGAGAAGAGGCTGCTGGTTCTAGCAAGAAGCTGGGGAGACAGCTGGGCGGGACCGACCCTGGAAAATTCCCCTGCGGGGGCCAGAAGAACTGGGCTCTCTCTAGGGTCCAGATTGCGGGCTCCGAGGGCACCTAGCTGGTTCCCTGGGATGATGGACCGGCAAAGGAGGCAGCAGGCAGAAACCGTTGTAAACGGGGCCCTGCCCTTGAAGAAATCTACCCAGCCTGTGGAGGAGGGCAGTTTCCAGAGCAAGGACAGAGGGGTTCTGCCCAGGAGCAGCCCAGCTCTTTTGGGGGACAAAGGAAGGGGTGTGAAGGACAGGCAACCTTCAAGGACGCAAGTTTCACATGGCCACAGCTCACGCCCAGCGGGGATCTACAGACTCTTCAGAGCTCCTCCCAGTGAATGAGCGCGCACTTTGCGCCCCTCTCTGGAGGCCCAGCCTTCGCGGGGAGAGGCCTGGAGCGCTGGGATCGGCACTGGGTGGGGAAGGAACGTGTCCTGGTTTCATCAATACCCAGGAGTTTTGCAATCTGATGAGCAGGAAGCGTCTGTTGTTCTTACAGGTCCACAAACAACCCTGAGAGCCACACGGGGGTCAGCGCAGCTGTGCGGCAGGGTGGGAGCACGGGGGTGGCCGCCTCCAGCCCGTACCCAGCAGCCTCGGATCCCACAGCCCGGTGCCCTGCAGCTGCCAACCTGCCCCGGCAGCCTCTCCTGGCCCTTGGCAATCCATGCACACCCGGGGCAGAGTAAGAAGCCACGCTAGGCCCAGCCTCACGTTGATCAGTCTCTATTTCTCATTCTGACGGCAGCCTGGGTTCGTTATCCTCCAAACATCACCTTCTGGAAGGACACCAGCCTCTTCTGACGTCGCCAGCCTGCCCGGAGGCAGCTTGGCTAATCTGCTATTCTTCGGGTGGCAGATTCACTCCTGGCCTGGGTGTTCCGACGCCACCGCTGGCACCAAGAAGTGGGGGAGGAGGGATGACGTCGTTAAGCCCCGTGAGGTGAAAGGAGAATTTATTCCCAGGTAAATTTTTTACTCGCTTCTCTTCCTGGATAGCTTCAAATGTGTTAATTCAGGACTACTGATTTTTTTTTTCTTGTTGTAACAAGTCTAAAGCATGGCAGTGGGTTTTAAAATACATATTCTTAAATGACACATCATTGTACATAAACAGTTGTTTTAAAAACTATTTTTCAATAGAATTGTGTACATGTGAACTCCCTAACACCAGCAATGCGAACCCTTACTGAGTATGAAAATGATCTAATTATATGGACCCCAGTTTTGAACAGAGTAAGAGATTGCTCATGATCCGCCACACTGGATCCAGCTTCTTTCTCCGCTTCCCAGTCCTTATCTGATGCACGTTTGCTCCCTGACAAAGCCTAGCCTCGTAGCTAGGGCTTGCACGGCTCTGTGTTACTGCATAATCTTTCTCACCATCATCAATGTGCAAAGTGCTCTAATATCGTCACTTGCGCACCCAACTTCCGATGGTTAGGAGACTGACTGCTGGGTTCATGCCTCTGACCAAGCTATTTACCTGTCTTATGCGGGCTGTCGGGGATGAGGGGGTGGAGTGGGGAGTGGCGGGCAGCAGGGAAGGCGGCCCGGCTTTGGAGGAGGGAGATACGGCTCTAGCTCACCTTCACCTCGGTTCTGGACCTGAGCCTTGCAAAGATATCCACAAAGAAAGAGCCACTCCCATCCTGTAGTGGGGTAAGGGCATGTTGGGGACGTATCTGTGGGAAGCGTTTCACACAGCACGTACCCACTGGACTGTATAGAAAGCTCCTTTACCGGGCAGAAGGCAGGGGCCATGCCATACTGGAGTCTGTTACAGGGGCCAAGGAAGGTCCTTGACATACAAAAGGCACTCAGCAGTAGTTTGTGGAGTGAATGAAAGTTGGAAGAAGGGTTCAGAGCTCCACACTGTTCTGTTTCAGGGACTTTGGGGCTCACCTTGATTTAGTGAGGTGACCCACTTGGCCGGACAGCTCCAGCGGTCAACACCCCTTCGCTTCCAGGTAAATGGAACAGGATTCCGTCCTGGTCCCTGCGTCCAGTTCTTGTCGAGCTCCTGTAGAGGGCGCTGGAGGTAAAGCACAGGAAGCAGCGCCCGGGGGACCGTGCACTTCCGGGTGGAGATGTGTCATATCCCAGGGACGCAGACACCGGCAGGCTCCAGGTTCTCCTTACTGCCAGGGTCCTTAAGCCTCCCACAAGCGACACCTGTCTGGGGCACTGCTTGTTGGAGGAGAGGGATGCCCGTGTCAGAGAAGCCAGCTGCTCACCGTGCCCTTACTTCTGATCCCGAGAGAGCAAACTAAACAGACTGCGATGCATCTCGGGCTGCCTCGCGCACAGATGTGTCTTCGCAAGGACCCACGTAACTCATGCCGCAGCAGGAACGATGGGTTTGGTTTCTGTAGGGGGAAGAAATCTTTTTTTCTTTCACCCTGCTGGGGCCTTGGCCGCATTTCTATAAAAGGCAGATGAGCAAGAAAAAAAGCGTACAAATTTATTTAATATAAGAGTTGCATGACAAAGGCGCCTTCTAAGAAAATGCAGACCCCCAAGAAAGGGTGGAAGCTGACTGCATGTGTAGAACTCTCACGAGGAGCAGAAGGTCATGGGGACGTAGGAGAGGACCACGGGGGTCCGAGCCGAGAGGAGTAAGGGGGGACCCCGTCAGCTCTGTGTGCTCAGACCTCACACCCCCTTTTCAGGAATAAGATGCTCTTTTTGCTGAGCACAGCAGGCAGCTCTCAGATGAGAGTCTTACAGTCTGCTTCCAGAGGAGGCCAGGAAGTCCGTCCTGTCCCTGCCGTTTCTCCAACCCCGTCTGCTTAAGAAAGTCCGTGCCCCGAGACCCCATATGTGGGGAGTCACGCATCCTAAACCCCATCAACACATCTCCCCTGGAGACCAGCCTGGTGGGGGCTCATGACTCAGCACTGGCTCTGAGAGCGCAGGTTCCCCGGGCTCCCCGCTACTGCCTGCTGCTTCGCTGCCAGGCCTGTGCTGCTGCCCACGCGCTCCGTGGGCCGCCAGGGGGCTAGGACGGTGCTCTGGCGGCTGGGTCTTTCTCCAGTTCTGTCGCTGGCCCGCTCTTCCTTGTTACATCACATGCTTCAGGTGACAACTGCATTTCCTTAGGTGTGTGGTGGAAGCTTGTGGAAGGAGGGCCCGGCTGGCGGTTGAAAAGCAGAGCTGCTACTTCCACCTTGGGACACCGCCAGCGTGGCTGTGGCCGCCTGCACCCATCTCTGGAAATGACGATTAGGATCACCGTCTTTCTCATTGTCCCACGGAGAGAAATCATTTGCTTCAGAGCCTTTCACCTGCTTAGAAAAGCACTTTAAGAACTGCAGGGCTAGGAGAAAAGCGTTGGTCCCCGGAGAGAGCTGCTGTGGAGGGGAGGCTGCTTGGCTTGCAGTCTGAGCTTGTTTCTCACAGCGGGGCACCCATCACCCACAGAACCTGAGTCACACAGACCTGGCTGGGAATGCTGGCTCCATCATAAGTTAATCGCGTGGTTGTGGACCAGTTATTTCACCTCTGTGAGCCTCAGTTTCTCAGTCTGAAAAATGGGGATAATATTCATGCCATCCTCCTAAGGTTATGGGTGGGTGAAGGGAGAGGATGGGTGCAAAGCCTTTAGTCTAGATCTGGCATCTGCAGGGGTTCAGCAGCTCTGTGTGATGAGGGATTGAGTTACTTCCTGTTCTTAACTACAGATTCCTTCTCTTGTTAACCCAGCACTGTTTGACTGGAAGATAGTGCCGTGGATGAAGTTATGGCTTTCACGGGTTGTACGTGATGTGATCAAAATACAGAGTGAGTGTGTAAATTTAAAAAAACATTACAGTAAGAGACATGTTACCACAAATCCCCTTCAGGACTTCCGAGTCACTTTGAACACACTTATCTCATCTTTCTTGCTACTTTCTGGAGCAGCTCTGGAAGTCTTCTTTTGTGAGTGTCGTTACAGGTTGTGATTAAGAAAACTATATAGCAAATGCTGCTGCGGAGTGCCGTCCGGAGGCAGAAAAGCAGGCTTGTATAGATGTTACGGAGCATCCTCATTCGCTTTATTCACTGGTTATGGCACTGTGTAAGTTCTGGCGCTTCTCCAAATTCAAAATGAACATGAAAACATTTTGAATCAATTCAGGACATGGAGGCACTCACCACAGTGCACCTAAAGACACTCACGAAAGAGGACTTCCAGGACTGCTGCAGAAAGTGGCAAGAGTGGGCCGGGGATATAGCTCGGTGGCACAAGCACCTGCCTGGTAAGCGCAAGGTCCTGAGTTCGATTCCTGGAACCAAAAAACAAACAAACAAACAAACAGAAGAAAGCGGCAAGAGGGATGGGACAAGTGTGTTTGAAGTGCGGGGGAAGATCCCGCAGGAGATTCACGGCAATGCATCCTCTGTGATACATTTTTTTTTCTTGGTGCAGGGAATCAAAGTCAGGACCTTGCACTTGCAGGCAGGTGCTTGTGCCAGTGAGCTACGTCCCCGGCATACATTTTCTGTTTTAAATTAAGCATTCACTGAGTTTTAAAAACCACTTTTCATATTTAGAGACACTCAGTGAACGGGTTTAGATGTTTTGCAGGTTTTCTCAGGTGGCCCACTTTGAACTATCTTCATCACCCACAACTATAACACCGCTGAGACCCGCTGGAGGCCCACAGGGTTCCTGGCTGTGGACAAAGCCCCTTGCACATTTTCTCCTTTTCTTCTCGCAACCCCACCAGCAAACGGATACTGCAGTATTTTTCCCCTCTTTTTTTCCCCCTTCTTGCGCAAATGAGAAAACTAAAAACTGAACTCGAACCACAAACTGTACTAAAACCTGTGTGCTTACCCTCAGCCCTCCACCGCTTGTCTTCGTGTGCCTGACTGCATCCTTCACGGGCTGGATCTGTTAGTGTTGCTTCTGGAGGGCTCGGCAATCCCTGAGTGCTGGTTCCAAGTGGTTTGGGACGTCCTGAAACACCGGTGAGACCCGGGTGACCTGTGCTGCCACCAAGCTTCCCTGAAAACAAGACCTAACTGGAAAATACTCAGCCTTCAAAACTGGAGATCATAAATGCTGGCCCCGGGAAAACGGGCTCTCCTTGTGCTGAAGACTAAACCTGCACCTGTGTCTCTCATCAGGCACCAAACTAAAATTGAAACGGATCAAAGATCTAAATATAAAAACTGAAGCTAATCTGCTGGAAGATAGAAGAGGTAAAACTCTTGGAGACGTAGGCGTAGGCAGACTTTATGAACAAAGCCCCAGTTGCACAAGAAAGATTACAAAGAATCAACAGCTGGGAGGGGCTGGGGATTTAGCTCAGCAGCACAGCGCCTCCCTGGCAAGCGCAAGGTTGTGAGTTTGATTCCTGGTACCACAATCTGCCCCCTCCAAAAAACACCCAAAAAATAACAGGGATCACATTCGATTTAAAAGTTCTGCACAGCAAAAGAAGCCACTAAGAGAGTAAAGGGAGAATCTACAGAATAGGAAAACACTTTTCACCAGCTACTTCTCAGACACAGGGCTAACATCTAGGATAAAGAACTCAAAAAAAAAAAAAAAAAAAAAAAAAAAAATCACACTCCTCAAATTTAAAGACCCAATCCAAAAAGGGCAACTGAAATAAAGACATTTTTCAGATGCAGAAGCATAGGAAAAAAATATATATAGATAAATGCTCAACATCACCAGTCATTTGAGAAATGAAAATTGAAACAATGCTGAGATTCCATCTCACTCCAGAGAGGAATTGAACTCCCATCCAGGAATCAACCAATAACAAATGCCGGAGGGGCTGTGGGGAGAAAGGAGCCATTGCGGGTGGAAGAGTAGACTAGTGCAACCACTGTAGAAATCAGTATGGAGATTCTTCAAAAACTGAAACTAGAGGTTTCATTTGACCCAGCTATTCTCCTTCCTAGGTATCATACCAATAGTGTTAAAAGCACCATACCAGCAGGGGTGGTGGTGCATGCCTATAATCCCAGCACTCGGAAGGCTGAGGCAGGAGGATCATTGTGAGTTTGAGGCCAGCCTGGGCTACAAAGTAGGAAAATGGATGCACCCCAAGATCAGAACCCTAAGTAAAATAAATCAGACACACATGATTAAATATTGCATTGTTTCTCTTTTTTTTTCCCCCAGTACCAGCAATCGAACTCACAACCTCGCGCTTGCCAGGCCGTGCTGCTGAGCTAAATCCCCAGCCCTTGCATTGTTTCTCTTGTGTGAAAAACGTAAAGGGTAAATGAGGAGTGTAACGGAGGACAGATATTAGGAAGAAGGAAGACCATGTTCAAGTGGATGGGGAACAAGGGAGCGGGGAAGGGAGAGGGCAGGAAGGGAAAAGGACAAAAAGAAGTGGAAGGAAGACATGGAAAAAGCTCGGGTAAATGGGAGGGGAGAAGGAGCTGGCGGGAGAGGGAGAGTGAGGTGTGTTATGTACGAGTACCGGTTCTCCACGACGAATGTGATGAACATGTCTGACAACTATGTACTAATAAAAGGAATAAAGTTTAAAAAAGCAGAAAAAAAAAAAATGCCAGCCCCAATCAACCTCTCCTTGCCTCACCTGCCAAAGTCCCAGGACATGGGGCGCCGCTCCGAGGAGGCCAGGGGCCTCTCTACAGCCCACACAGGATGAGGTGGGTGGAGCCGAGAGTCGCCCTGGATAACATCCATCTGAGGTCAGAACTTCCTGAAATCTCCGGTCCTCACCGAGGCGTCTTCAAATGTTCCCCATGGTTCACAGACCGACAGGAAACCGCAACAGGTGTGAAAGGCAAACAACACAGCACAGCAGGACGCGAAGCTCTCTAGCACAGTGCCGTGATCGTCTCTGGCCTCCCTGGCGTTCGTGTTCGGTGGTTGTGTATTTTCATGTTGCGGTGTGGCGGGCCCTGTAGGCAAGGATGTGATTGGTCAGGGAGCCGTTTGTGTATGCACATTGCCGGTGGTGAGGGCCCTGATCTCCAGAGGGACGCTTTGTCTGGAGTCTTTTGGATTACGGATCCCCAGGGACAAATCCCTAGGACAAATGTTCAGTCTCCTATCACTCGGTTCTTTCCCAGGAAAAAGCAAGGTGGGCCCAAGATTACAAACACAGATTTTACTGGTAGAGTGACCCAGTCTGATATTAACTCCAGTGATTGGAAAATGCATAAAAACACATGGGTAGATACTAAATGTTCAACAGCTTCTATTACTTATGAGATGATCATGGAAATAACTTCCACTAATTTGTGCATGCATCACAAGCTGCTGTTGACCCCAGGACAATTTCTGAGAAGATGTCTCCAGCCGCTCCAGTAGTAGGAAATAAACCTTGCATCAGTGCGGTCTTTTCCAATGAGCATTAGCCGGTAGTACATAGGATCCTTAAGATGATTTGGGGTGGTAGGTGGACTTTTACACAAGTTCTTTAAAATAGCACGTATTTAAGCTGGTGTGGTACTGCACTGCTGTAATCTTCAGCACTCGGGAGGCTGAGGCAGGAGAATACCATGAGATCAGGCCAGCCTGGACTACATAGCGAGGTCCTGTCTCAAAGAACAAAACAAAATAACACCAGTAAAAAAATAGCACGTACTTAAGCATAAGCATAATGCCTAAAATATTTGTGTTTAGGATATTTTTCTGACAGAAGACAACAGTTTCACATTTATGCTGATTTAAAGTTTCCCTGTAAAATAAAAAAGAGTAGAAGACACTATAATTCAAAGAAAACCGTGAAGTAATAACAGCACCTGTGGTAGCCAGAAATGGCAGAAACTGTGATGATGCTATGCAAATAGCCCCACTTAGAGAAGCACCGAGTTAGGAAGAGAACCTGCTTGCTCTTCAGCTTGCCCTGTGTGAAAATATCCACCAGCATGCCCTTCACGGGGTTCGAGTCTATAATGTGGTCATGAATCTTCATGCTGCATGAACTTGAGATCCCTGCAGGGCAACCCCTCAGTTTAGATGGTTTCCGAGGTCTAGAGATGTGGTCCTTTGATTAGGTACAGTGTCTGGGGCGGAGCCCTGATCTGACCATATTAGAGAAGACAGTGCTTCCTAGCGGTCTAGACCTCAGAAGTCAGAGGGCGAAACGCTCTTTCCCCTCAGCTCCCCGAGAGGAGCCTGAGAGGAGACACTAAATTCCACGAGAACAGAAGTGGATCGCAAGGGCCGAGCATTATGAAATATTTGAAGATCTTTTACTTGGGAGGGGATAGCGGTTATTCTCTGTGACTTTTTGGGTATATAAACAGGAGGCTACTGGGCTAGGTAGTCAGCCTGCAGGCTGACGAAAGAAATACTTTTAATTAAGTAAGGAAGGAATGAGGTGTCTTGAGATGACCAGCGGCCCCAGGCCAGGCTGGAGGTGTTTATTTCAGCAGAGCTTGAGGCCCGAGGGCCGCTGGGGTCCAAGAGCTGGGTGAGTGCGGCAGAGGGGGCGGGCGGCGACTGGCTCAAGGTCCTCCAACCTCTCAAATGTCCGGAGCAGGGGGCAGCCTTTCCTGCCTTTTGAGCGGCTCCTCAAAGAGTATCTGTAAGTTGCCGTTTCGGTTTTACATCTGTGCTACCATCTGGGAATTTCCCCTCCCCACAGGAGCACATCTCTCTCCTAAATACAAGCCGAGATACTTTCGATACTAAGTGGAACGATATGTCCACCACAGTACGTTTTTTGTTTTTTTGTTTTTTTTTTCTCCGGTAACGGGAACCGAACTCACGACCTTGTGCTTGCCAGGCAGGCGCTTTTGCCGCTGAGCTAAATCCCCAGCCCCCTCACCACAGTACGTTTTAAACTCCGGCTACTGGATGCAGTAAGGAGCTGGAGACCTGTACATTCCTCTGGTAAATACCGGTTTCCGTCGTTTCACATTCTGAAGGCTCCTAAGGCTGATACTTGCGGAATAATTGTAGAATTATTACTCTGGAGCTGGTGAGATGGTCATTTTTGCAGCTAAAAACCTGCGTTGGCCATTTCATATAGTTTAAGCTACACAATAGCGAGACGCTTATGAACAGCCTTAAGATCACAAAAAGACTTAGCGTTTCCTACTAAACTCAGTGTTCCCCTGACCATACCGATCAAAGGAACATGATCCCAGTCTGCCAAATTATCACCCGGCATGATCTCTTCCGACAGGGCGTCGCCCTGCCCTGAGCTCGGTAGGGTGCAGGGTAGTTTTCATTTGCAAAGATGCTAAACCCTTTAATGTGTCAATCACTAAGAATTCAGTTGCTTAGTAGTGAAAAACAGCAAGATGAAAGGAGCACACAGGGGTGAAAGCAGGCGGGGAGACTGCGTGTGTGGTGGCGCTTGGCAGGGGGAAGGGGAATTATTTCTGAGATGGGAATTTAAAAAGTATAATCCCAGCTCCACTCCCTGCTCACATGAAAAACCGAAGCTTCCCTTCACTGAGGGCTGTAGGAGTTTCATACTGTTAGCACCACTCTGTAACATCCTGAATTAGGATCCAAGTGTAGGATCAAAACGAATTTACCAGAACATTCCCCGTATTAATTAGAACTTCAGGAGATAACCGTGATGGGCTCAGAATCCCTTCTCAGCTGTTCTAACCTGTGCTTTTTCCCACATGGCTCTCACACGCCTGTGTCATCATGAGATTGCTCCTCTTCCCCTCTCCCCGCAGGCCACTGAGTAACGGGGTCTGTCCTGAGCAGATCTTCAGGCAATTCTGTTGTCCTGTGAATGTCAATGTATTCGCCCACACCTGGGCGGCCCAGCCCCCTGCAGGCCTAGACCCGGTGGCCTCAGTGAAGGCAAACCTTTTAGGCTTTTAACGATAGCCAACAGCCTGCTGCGGCACGCACGCCATAGGTTTGCCACCACTGCCCACTGCTCTAGGACGTGCATCACCTGATAGTCTTGCAGGGAGCTGATATGTGATGCTAACCGCCTTTGTCTACACTCAGGAAAGGAACAGCGAAGATTCTTGGTGAGAGGAATTTTGGAAACTCCGTTACAATCTCAGGGGACTCCATGAGAGCGAGGTCCCGCAGTGACCCAAGCACCACGACACCACCCAAACTGCACAGGGTCATGCACTGTAGGAGCCACTGAAAAAGGAGTGCAGGAGAAAGCTGGTCCTGGGGGGAAGGGAACGAATTAGAAACTTCTGGGAGAAAACAGGAACTATAAAGCTTCCCTTGTCTGATTTGTTAAAAATAAAATGTAAGCCCTCAATCTCTATGCATTCACTTAAATGCACTAAAAGTCGTAGGAGTAGCTCAACCTACTTTATAGTTATGCTACTTGTCCAGTGCCTATGGGGATACGGGCAAAAAAAATCGAAGACCTCCATGGAACCCTCTCAGCACTGAGACGTCCACGTCTGCATCTCTCCAACAAAGAATTTTAATTCCACGATCCCCCGAGGGTCAATGCTGTCAAGTCCCGTCTGACCTAACTGTCCTCCAGGACTGCCGGCCACCGCACAGCCAGGCAGGCCGGTACGGCATTCCCTCTGTGCACGCTCAGGGCTTCCCGATCCCATCACCTTGTCACCAAGATCAAGGGAAGTTACGCTGTGCACGTTAACGTGCACACCTTCCCTCCCCACCCCCACGCAACGTGACCTGTGTTAAGAAAAACACTTGTGTGTGCATTTCTTACAGAAGACTTTATGACCGCAGCTTCAGACACTGGGAGAGACAAGGGTGAGCGTGCGAATTCCTAACAGCTCCAGGGTTGTCCACGCCATCGCAGGCTTCAGAGACAAGGCCGCATGCTTGTCTTGCTTACAAATACATAGGCATTAAAACACTGAGACCATTTTTTTTGTTTTTTTATTACATTTGGACCTTTAAGAAACATAGACCATCAGATATACCACTATTCAGTAAAAATCTATGCTAGTTTTTAGGAAGCGTACATGTCACAAACTATCTTGCTTCTAGTCTCCAAAGCTTTACCAAGAGTTTATCAAAAAGGTTGGCTCTGACCTCTGGGATCTGAGCCTTGAGGTTTTGAATGTTTTGATTATTGTAAAACCATTTCAAGTGGACGAACTTAATTCCCAGCCGTTTTTCTTCTGGAATGGGCTGGTCATTATCTAGTCCGTTACAAAAATGTCCCACTCCTTAATAGAATACTTGTGATCTATTCTGTCTTTGGAAAACCTGGTTAAAAAAAATACTTTCCCCCCTGTACAATAAGGACGAATTCACCAGAACGTTCCCCGTATGAATTAGGACAGAAAGCAACAGACACTGCGCACGAGCTGCGCCACGTAAGACTACTTCCTCAGCTACGGACTACCTAGGGACACACACTGCACCCGGGCCAGCACCGCCCGAGGGCAGCCAGCCACGGGCTCGCTCCACCCCGTGACAGCACGCATGGCACGGGACACTGATCAAAAGTGGACAGGGAAGGCAAACACACACACACACACAAACGCTCCCACGCGACTGTTCTCGGGCTGTCTCTGCACGCGTACACCGCAGGGACTCAGGAAGCCGCTGGCAGGGATGGGGCAGGTTTAAAGCTATGGCTTTGGTAAGCACCGAGTGAGCTGGAGAAGGCATTTGTCGGAGGAGGTCCTGCAGCACGGAAGGTAACTCTCCGGAGCTGGGCGTTCCTCAGTCTGGACTCTGAGCCCTTCGGCAGCCGGGGGCCAGCAACGAGACGCAAAGGAAAGGGCCATCTTCACAGCCTAGGGAAGGTGGCCGCGCCCCTGGGCTCGTGATGCTCATGGTCCAAAAGCCTTTGGTGGTGCGATATGGACAAAAAAAATTAATACACAGACCACGTAACACCTTAAAACCGAAAAACGTTTTTCTTTCATTTAAAAAAGTATCTAGGACACATAGAACAAGGCAACGTTTATTCCTTTTTCTCATCTTCCGGGGCGGGGTCTGAGGGCGGCTCCTCCACAGTGGCGCTGTTGCTCTCGGAGCCGGTGTTGCTGTCACTGGTCCCCTCCTCGGCCAGGCTGTCGACGCCCTCCTGGCCGCTCTCCTTGCCCTCGGGTGTGGACGTGCCCTCCTCGCCGTTCTGCTGGCTCTCCGCTGCCTCCTCCAGGTGCGCCTCCTCTGTAACCACACACCTGTCACCGGCAGTCCAGGGGACAGCACAAGGCCACGCCGCGGCCCGCGGCGGCCACCAGCCAGCCACGCGCGGCCAAGCAGCGCCCAGAGTGGCCAGGCAGGCCGGGGAACCTTTACACACGTCTGGGACGGTCCAGGGCGTGAAAAGCTACTTTACAGCTCTGAGTTTCTTACACGGAAATACAGATCAAACACTCCTTTGAAAATGTAGCTGTTGCCTATAAAGAAAGATAAACTCCAGGCTTTTTTGGTAAATGCTCACAACTAGAGACCATACTCATAAGTGAAATACATCAGACCTGCACGTGTAAGCATCGGGTTGCCTCACTAGTGTAAGGCCTGAGAGAGTGAATAGAAACTAGGAGGTATGATAGGCACTGTGAAAGGAAAGGAAAACGCTCAAAAGTGAAGGG